GTCGCCCCCCGCCCCCGCCGCCCCCCGTCCCCGGCCCCCGCCGCCGCCGCCACCATCGTGCACCCTGTGCGCGCCCCCGGCACGTGACGGGGGAGGGCGGCTCCGGCTCTGTGTGTGTGTGTGAGGAGCGGGGAGGGGGGGGGGTTCCGCGCCACCTCCCGGCGGCCCTGAGAGGAAAAAAAAACCCCAGCTTTTTTTTCTTTTTGTTTTTAGTTAGAGACCCGCCGGTAGCGGCCCCTGACCGAGGTGGGCGACCCTCGGGGGTCCCTATCGGGCCCGAAGGTGCGGGGCGGTTAGGGAAGGAGGCAGCTCCTCCGGCCCGGTACGAAGGGCCAGAGCTGCGGGGAGATGAGGGAGTGGGATCGTTACCCCCACCGGGGGCTGCCCCTTTTTCTCCCTGTCTCCAGAACGAACACCGCCGGAGGACACGCTCGCTCAGCGGTTAAACGGAATTGTTCTGTTCACAAAGAAGGAAGAGCAGCAAATAATCCAGCCCCGAGATGGGAGCGTAGTGAAAAGGGAAGGGTTGGACTTGCGCTCTGATTTTATAGCTTTCTTAGTTTTTATCCATCTAATCAAGAACATTCTCATAATTTGTGTTATAATGATGATGTGACACGTTTTATTAATAAAAAATGAAGCGAAAATGTCACTGGCAGTAAGCTTCAAAACTGGATAATGGGTTTCCTGCTGTAAGGGAAATGTTGAGACATTTACAGAAAAATAAACATCGAGGTGCAGCTGAGAATATTATTTTCAAAAGCAGCCAGAGATCATTATCTAGTCACAATAATTACCTAGTCACAATATTCAGTTTCATTGGCAACTGGGCCGTTAAACCAAACAACCGATTTATTGCAATAAAAAAAGCAAAGGCTGAGCCAACAAACAGGCAAGCAGCCAAACCGACCCAAACGAGAAGTAGAAGAGAGACACTGGGGGAAAAAAAGGTCTGAAGAACAAAATATATTCGCCCATATTAACCAAAAGGCAGCAGTTCTTGCACGATTGACAGATTGGGAGCAGTAACTACAACCATAAGATCTCAGAACAAATATGAGTACACTACACCGGGAGCTTCTTAATGGGCCAAGAGACAGGCAGCAAGCTCTGCTAGGAGGAATTCCGGCAGACAATTTGGGGAACAAATAGCAGAGCTTTTGTAGAGGATACTGCTGCCCGCCGTACTGACTGGCTCTGGTCACACAATATCACTACGAGATCTGGACACACAGGAACTCAATAATTAACGTTATTAGTGGTAATTTTGCAATAGCTTTTTGAGGCAGGCTTTTCTATTCATTTACTATCAGCTAGTCCAAGACAAACCCTTAGTTCTGCTGAAGTTTTTAACCGTAACCACAGATAGCTAGTCCTTCTCTGCATAAACTGGTTCTGTGCTTGGTCTTACAGCAGTCATTTCCTTGGAGATTCAAACATAAGGACTTTATTCATTTCTAAACCCCCTTCGTTAGTCAAAACCAGGAATTTGCAGCCGAATAAAGCGTGCTGTCTGCTGCACGAGTTCAACTCCCAAGTCCATCAAACATTTCTTGTTCCCTGCAATTTAATACCAGACTAAAGGGACAAGCTGCAGGTTAGGATCTCTTAGATCATTAAAGCACACGCCAGCACAGGCCAGACCAAAGCCTTCTCTCTTCTTCTTTCAGCACACCCTTACATGTTTCTTCCTTCAAATACACCGGGAAAGATATCAATGTTCAAGCTTGCATCTGAGCCAGGCATTTCTTTTCCCATGTACACTCACCTCTCACTTCATAACCACATCTTTCAACCTTCCCATTCGTCTCATCCCCAATATCCACTAGGATAAGAGCAAACAGATTATAGTTTGTGTTTTAACACCTCACAAGCATAAGATAATAAGAGTTCACATATTAGGTTATCCTAATTTTTTGCTCAAAGAAAAAAAGTTCCTTAGAGTTCTTCTTTTCATCATATTTTGTTTTCCCCCAGCTTTCCCTCACAACCTCTCTCCTACTCATCAATGGGGCCATACCCTTGAGAAAAAAAAAAATGTACTCCATACTTCTGGTCCTCCTCAAGCTTTTTCCTAGGTCCCTACTCTGCAAAAGCATAGGGAACAGGCCTATTCTCTCCCACTCCATTATCTTATCTCCACACCAAGTTTCCTCTCAAATCTCCCTCCTCTGTTTTTTCCAGTAACTAGAATAAGTCTCCCCTTTTGCTCTAGTTCTTCAAAATCCTGCTGGTTTTTCAAAACTCCACACGCACATGTCAACTCCAGACTTGCACTCCCCAGATACCAGGCCACCTTAGCAACTTACCAGTCTCAACCTTTCCAGTGTTTTTTTTTTTTCCACCAAACTTTTAAGACACCTACCTCAAGTGTCAGACATTCTTCCAGCTTCTGATATTTCTTCTTGTACCTCCACTTATGATGCTTCTTCCTTCCCCTCCTTCTCCTCTCACGACCCCCTTGAGTCTTCTCTGATTTTACTACAAAAGCTTTAAAGCTAGGCCCAGCACTAGCCATCAGAGAAGCAGACAACCTGCCTTTCTTCAAGACAACCAGTCTGCACTCCCATCTGATAGGATATCACCACAGCAATTAGTTTGTTTTCCCAACAGGCTCTAATTAGGGTAGGAAGGGAGCCTATAGCTGCCAAGCATCCTGCCCCCTAAATTGAGTTAGACTTGTTAGGAAAAAAAAAAACCAAAACCAAAATCACCTGGGCTTCAACATTCTCTAGGAATCTTTCTAGGACTATGCACAGTATGTCCATACAAGCACTGACTCTTCCCACAGCTGTATTACCTACTGAAATTGGGACATCTGATCATCTAAATAAACTCTCCCTACCTCCCACAAACACACTGCAGACAGTTAAAAACAAAACAAACAAAAAAAACCCCACCCTACAGCTGCTCCCAGCATTGCAGCAATTACACTTATCAGCATTACACCTCAACAAACTCCTCCTGTGCTGCTTAACCAGCTGCTAATAGACAACTGAATATGAATTACAAGCAGTGATAGGATTGGGGAGGTCTGAGATGATTGGGTCAAAGGTAGAGTTGGGTTTTTTTGAATGTGCTGCATTTAAAGGAAAGAACTTTATGAGGCCAGCTGGAGGCTTCTCCATCATCTTTCCTACTCCATAGCCATTTATTTTTTAATGTAGTACTAGACAAAGTGGATGGCAAAAATGTAATGGGGTGGTGTTCAGTGCCTACACCCCTCTTGTGTTAGGTCTAGAACTGTCAAAGCACAGAAGCTCACAGGCCCCCTTAATTGCTCTGCTACCCATAAAATATAGGCTCTGATTACAAAACAAGATGTTCTGAGTTGGATACTTACTCTGTTTATTGGAAAGAAATTGTACATGTGGGTGCTTTGTATCAGCACTTTCTGTGCAGCTAATTGACAAAACAGAGCTTAGATAGGAAATAATCTTCTGTTATGTCAAAACATACAGTGAAGTTATATTAACTAAAGCAATGTCAGACTCAGTAGATATATATATAATATAGGCAAAATGTAAATTAGAAATCTGATTTGTTCTTCTTTATTTTTATATTCTAATCAGTTTTGATGATGAAATACAAGTTAATTAGTTTTGCTTGCCTATCCTAACATACCAGGGTGATATATCTATATTTTGGTTATAAGCACAGTGGGGAAATATTTAAATGATTGATATGAAGTTGTTTACCTGACCATTATTATTTTTATTAAATGATGTCTATTGAATGTAAGACCTAGATAATAAGTGCCCTAGCAAGGTTTCTTTGTAGGCTGTTGAATTGCTTGGGGACACCTTGATCCTGCCAGCCAGCACTGTTCAGCTGCAGAAGTCTGCCCTTGCAGATTTAACAGCCTGAGCTTTCATGGGGATTTTGCTGTCCTGAACACAGCCCCCCTGACTGCGGATGTGCATTTGTCTCCAAGGGCAGTTTGAAAGATCAATTGACAAACATATGGTGAAAATTACCCTCAAGTTTGTGTTCTAAGCATTGAAGACTCTCTCTCTTTATCCATCAAAACAGTAGCAAACCACACATTAAGATATCACTACCCCTTTAAGAGACATGGTAGAAAACTCTCTCCAGTCAAGCAAAGCCAAGAACCCAGGCTATTCTCTCAGCAGTAATGACATGATCTTGGAAACCTAATTGGGATGGCTTGAATCTTAACTTCAATTACAGGAACTTCTCTTTCAGAGCCATAAACCAGAAGCACCCAATAATGGAAAATGAACGCATTACCTATTCTACTACCACATTAAGGCCACAAAATTAAACACAAAGTCTTGTAGGAGAGGACCCAAGTTGGATGCAGGAACATTAATGTGATCCATTTTGAAAACTCTATGTTTTATGTGACAAATTTAATACAAAAGATGTGTATTAAATTACATGCTTAACAGGATGAAAGTACATTACATTTGCAGTGCAACTAACTGAGCAGTTAACATATGCTGAAGTCATGTTTTTGCTTAGGACATCCTTGAGATAAGACATACAGAAAGGAGAGAGAGAAGGGTTATGGAAAGTATGTGCAGTTGGAGATACTTAGTGAAGGGAGCTCGAGGGAATGGAAAGCTTGTGTTGGCATATACTGGATTGGGAAGGTTTAAGAAAAGGGCTGGAGAAACATTCCTGAGTAGGAACAGGGTTGCATGAAAAGGGTAAGGCCTTTTGGGGTATTGACGATTATACTGAGGAGGCAGTGTTTGGAGGAAGGTCTGCATGTCTGGAGAACATCGTTTTGAGGATGAGATGCTAAGCAAGCGTAGCATGGCATGGATGTGAAGAATCTGGTAGTTACCCTGTCCAAGAACAGCTGATGGAACTGAGTAGCTGTGGGTCTCCAGTGGGCTGGACTTGGGGAGAGCTTGCACCTGCAGCTGCCTGGCTGTGAAGCACCCACATACCAGCAGACAGGGTGTTTCCAGAGGATTGTTCTTCACCCCTCTGACCTCTTCTGTCCTGCTTTGTGCCCTGT